TTATATTATATTATATTATATTATATTATATTATATTATATTATATTCACCTAACCATACACACAATACATAAATATATAGTATATATATTCTCCATAGTTAAAATTGCTTTAAAATTTCTCAGTAATAGGCACAGTAGTATAGAGTGCTACACACTTGCCCCAGACTTAGATGTTTTGTACTTTTATAATGCCTGGCATAGTGCAGTTCTCTCGTGTAACCCCCCCGGAAAACACAGACGACCTAGTTATTTAATAACGTGTATTTTTCACAGGGTAGGGACTAGTTACTGTGGCCCTGCCAAACTCCCAGAGTTGGCCCTCGCTGTGGCCTGTACCCTGTACTCTGCAGGTTGATTGGCGGCAGTAAAGAAGATCTGATTTTTTTCAAGCATTTTTCTTTGCCTCCCTTCAGTGAGAACTTCCATCTGCTAGCCAGAGGAGCGGGCGATAATGGGGACAAATACAGTGGAAGAGGAGAAGGCATCCCCACGGATGGATCGTTTTCCTTTCATTTGAACTAGCTATTCCTTTCCCAGCCCATACATGTCTCCGGCCCGAAGATGAATGGTACAAACCCGAAGGCCCGTTAACTGCCCGTAAAAGGCTCTTTTACCCCTGCTGCAGATTATTTTAACGTAATTTAACCTCTCCTGCTCCAGCACACGAAGGCAGGGAGCACAATTCACACAGGCTGAGCAATTTGCTCAGCAGAGTGACCCTAGCTGAACAGGCAGGGTAATCTCAGAGCCTGGGCTGGTTAATATCACTGGTCTCCATCGCCTGGATAGCCAAGTGGGGATGGCTCCTTCTCTGGCTAGTAAGACTTCGCATCAGAGCCAGAGTGGTTGTATTTCTCGAGGAGAGGCGAGCAAGCAGTGAGTGAGCTGGTGGGGTCGGGGTGTTCATTGGCCTCCAGGAGACCCGCAGAATTTGAGAGCTGTACGGAGAATCCCGAGATTTTCAAACTGGTGGCTAATTTGCCGGGTCATTAGCATAGCGCAGCTTCCCTTTGTTAGAAATCCAGCAGGATCAAACCCTGCCCAGGTTCAGAAATCTCTTCCCCAGCACAAAGCGATGGCACGTGGAGACGATCTCCCCATGGGTTGCCAGCGTTCTATATGTTTTAATAAAACCACTGACTATTGCTTGATGATTTATCGCTACATCTTTATTATTTAGCAGCTATTCTCTCGGAGGGAAAGTCCGGCTTGCTGGGGAGCGCCACCCGGTGCAGTGCATTTCTGTTGTGACTCGAAAGCATTTTAATTCCCCCATAGCCAGACTGGGGGCTGTCTGACCCAGCAACAATTTGGGGCTATTCACCCGCAGAGAGATCTTTGTTATGCACGGGGTGGTTGTTTCCCCCCCCCAGGAATATAACTCCCTTTAGAGAATGACCTAGTTGAAGTCACAGAATGGTTTCATCCCATATTTATTGACTACAAATATCAAGGCATTACGTTTCCCCGCCTGTATTTTAATGATCACGTTTACACTTGAAACTAACCCCGGGAAACTCATGCAGGTGCGGATGTTGGGCTGTTTGGGGGACATGCGGACGGTTTCCCGTTTGGCCTCACTACAGGGCACCGAAGTTGATAGGGAAGTTCAAGTCGATCGGGGTTTCACTTTCGCCGAGGAGAGCTGTCAGGACATGTAGGGAGCTGAACCCCTGTCCCTGCTGAAGTGGGGGGAGAGCTGGTGACCCACCGCTTCTGCGGCGGCTGCCGAGCGAGCCTGGCTGGCCGCGAAGAGTGAGTGCGTTCGAACTTGGAGCAGAAAGCAGAGGGGTCCTTTGTTTAATTTGCCATCTAGAGGGTAAATTGTTCTAGGGCATTAAGGAGAGCTCGATGCCTACAAAACACCGAACTTGTAATATTTGGAGGGAATCATTACAAAATTAAAACGCTTCCCAAAACAAAGTCCTAGCTTTCAATATCAAGATTTTCTTTTCTTCTACTTTGAATTGCTTTTCTAGATGAAAAGCTATAGAGCTTTGCCTTTTTTATTAAATACGATGTTAATAATTGAATATCATTGAAATTGCTAAGGAACCTGAGGCTAGTTTGTTTCAGTTAAGTGGCGTTGAACCTCTATTTTTTGGTATTAAAAGCAATAGGGACATTATTTTTCTGGCCTTAAAAGAATTTCAGACTCAAAACGGATAGGCTCTGTAAACCTAAAACGATGGGATGGTTCACTCTGGAAAATGCAGCACAAGGTTATCTTCAGACTTCTCTTGATATGCTCTGAATAAAGTTATTTTTGGAGCAGAAACACTTTGAACCTGGAGCTTCCACTAAGATCTGGTGTGCTGAAAAAAAGATTCACTTCTGAAATTGACAAGGAACTTCAGTGACTGGCTGCTCTGTGTAGGCTTAAACTGGCTTTAGTAATCAAATATTTTACGTGGCTTCATTATGTGTTCTGACAGTTGTAGAAGGTGTTTATAAAGTTTGATAGTAGTTTATCAATGGGGAAATGACAGGACTTAAATAAAAATAGTTTATACAATTGTTTTTTTTAAGCATCGAGGCATTTGACCTGTCAGCTTATTCTGTATAGTCCAAGTTTCCTGTAAATAGAGATTTTTCTTATTACTTTTTTGTTCCAGTTTTGGCAACAGGGATGTCCATGCTATTATTTGTTTTCAGTTTTGCCAGCCCTCTGTGATATAAGTAGTTTGAATGATTAACAACTTGAGGACTAATTATATTTCGTCACTTGCTACATGGGATTATTACATGTTCATTGGTTTTACACAGTTTAGCTGCTACTCATCTAGCTGAGTCCCATTTCACATCAGATATATGATTCACCTTGCTAAAGGTGAACAGTGCAAATCTGCTAGAAAAAGAATAATATATAGGTGTGGGCTAAGCATTCACATTTCATTTGTGGGACTATAATGTCTGCAGAGGGCGTTGTAAATTAGAACAGCAAAAGCCATTCCATATTTCCCCCCCTTTTGATTAAATTAAGCATTAAGCAGTCATTTGGAGGGGGGGAAAGTAAACGATCATTAAATTCAGTGCAACCCCTTTCTGACTGAATGAAACTAAATTTATAAGGAAAATGGTCCAAGTCTTATTTGAACACAGCCTCATATTTGTAGGGAGACTAAAAGTCACCTTTTTACCATGCAGCTACAGGGCTTACCCAGGCACTTCTTACTCAGGCAACATCTCCCATTAGTTTCAAGGGGAGATATTGCCTGAGTACTGTTGGTCTGGGCCTAAAAATGTAGTTTGAAATGCTGTTTTACGAACTAGGGGCCTGATTTTGATGTCACTTAAATCAGGAGGAACTCCATTGAAGCCAGTGGGGTTACATTGGTGTGAAATTGCTATGAGAACAGAATTAGGTTTCAACTTTTACAATTCTTCCTGCCTTGGCAGTAAGTGATGATCAGTAATTTGAAAATGTTTAAACTCTTGTTGAGGAGTGAGGTGATCATTGTGAAGGAGGAATCTGTGGCTAAGCAAGATTGCAGTAGAGAAGTGTCTTCCAACTATCACAAAGATGTTTTTTTTTCTGCTTGTTTTTTTTCCCATGTGTTTCAGGACATGGAGGAGTGAATCAGTTAGGGGGTGTTTTTGTGAATGGTCGTCCACTCCCTGATGTTGTCCGGCAAAGGATTGTGGAACTTGCCCACCAAGGGGTCAGGCCGTGTGACATCTCCAGGCAGCTACGGGTCAGCCATGGTTGTGTCAGCAAAATTCTTGGCAGGTAACTTTGTTTCTGTAAAGGAAAATATCAAACACTGGATCAAAGATGATGAAACAAGAAACAAGTCAAACGGAGACTGATAGAAATGACCTAGGAATGGCAGGAAATGGTATAGGATCAGTCAGTCACAATTTAAGATGTCTGACCTGGGAAGTGAAAGCGATTTATTTATGTTTGTTTATTTACTTCACCAAAAAATTCTTGCAAATAACTAAAGAAATGAAGGGGAGGGATGGCACATGTGGTCTAAATTTCCTGCACCTGTGTGTACTGAACAAATTGACAAATCTGTGCGTCCTCTGCAGTAAAATGGAAAAACCAGAAGTTATGAATCTGGCAGTGAAAGCTACCCCTTTTGTTTTCTAAAGCACACTCTATTTTTAGCCCATAATTTCACTACCTAAAGCCACCAAGAGCAGTTGTCAGTCAGCACACTCATTTACATGGCCTCTTTTGAAATTTGTCACAATAATTTCATTTTAAGGCTTGTTTTATTCTTGTGATAAGATATATTCCTAATTAGAACACAAAGTACCATAAGTAATCATTAACTCTCTTAATTTTGATACTTTGAGAGTAGCCATCTGTTCTGATTGGAGATGCTCAAAGTAGTATAGCAATAGTAAATTCAAAAAATTCGATCATGTCAGAATTTGGTTTTGAACTTGATTTAGATTCAGGAAAGTCACCACTGCATTTTAACTCCTTGTGCACAAATCTGAATATCACATATCACTGGTTTTAAATGAACTGGAACGCATGTATCTTGGGAACTTTTAGCTGCCATACTTTTCTATTACCTTCTATTTTCTCTCTATAACTCAGACAAGTTTTTAAAATGTTTATTGAGCATTAACAATTGAATTAACTTCATTGTTTGCATTCCACTGGCATTAGTCATATTCTGACCTTCACTTTCCCCCCTCAATTTTAATTGATCTGTTTTATTGGTCAGACTGTAGTTATAAAGATTGTTAGAGCAAACATTTGTCTAGCAGTGTACATAGACTCTTCCCCCTGAAATAACTGCAGCAGCAGTCCCACGTGGACAAATGCAGTACTCAAAATGAAATGAATCTGGCAAAGCTAAGGATTCTTTCACCCTTATTCCATGAGACCCATTGTCTCTACTGGAGAATCTTCTCCTCAGTCCTATTCAGATTGCTGCTCTAATGCCATAGGAACCAGTCATATGCACAGAAGGTCCCAGAAATCCAGTGGACCTGGTTCTTCTCTCACATGCCACGTTTTATTCCAGTGTAATTCCATTGGAAATCAACAAAGTTACCCCTGATTTTACACTGGTGTAAGTGAAAGGACATGTAAGCTCTGATATCTTTACTCTTTCTGAGAGAGAGACTTTTCTTGTGTGGGACTTTCCTGCCTACCACAAGCTGCTCCATTCTGTTTGATCTTTGAATCTGTTCTGAGTGCTGGTCCTATTTGTGACACCCTACCACTCTAGCAGATTTACAAACCATTTCTATTAGTATCAGTGCAAAGCTAATAAATAGGCAACTCATTTGCCTACCGAGGAAAAGTCCAACCACTTTACTGTTTCAGATTTGAATAGATTTGTCATTAGATATATTTGCATTATGGAGCTCAGAGAGCAGCTCTGGAGTTTTGTCATTTAAGTTGTCAACAATAAATTGGAATTTCATAGCTCATTATTTTCATAACTAATAATTACGGTGGGTAAAATGTCACTGTAATTGGAGCTGCCGTCTGTGGGGAAAAAATACGAAGGCTCCACGCAAAAACCTTTGATCCCAGATTCTGGAACTGAAAGTTTTTGAATCCGCTTGGTTTTAGTCAAACGTTGGAAAAAACACGAAACGTTCAAGGAAATAAATGTGAGGCTTTGGGGCGAGGATCTGGATGGCGGCAGAAGGAGGCCGACTAGCTGCTCGCTCACGGAGCATTACAACGGGGGCGTCTGCCCTGCGCCCATTTGAGGGGAGAATTGGCAGCCTGCCTGGAGCTCAAGGGCAGGATCTAATTTGCATAAAATCAAGCAGATTGCAGCTGCCCTGTCTTTAGTGTGGGGTTGTGGCCAGATTGAGAGGGAGAATTGCACTGTGGGAGCTGTAGTCTCTGTGGGCCACGCCCCAGGTTAAAGATGAGACTAACCAGGCGGGAAGAGTGCCCTGGAGAATTCTATAGGGTTAGTTGGCCTGCAGGTTGCCCTTTGGTTATCCCAGCTTTACAGGGAAATTGGGATTAAGTTATTCTGGGGCTGACTCTATGAGGGCCTGGTTTTATGCCCTTTAAAGTCATTGGAATCTTTCCATTGATTTTAATGGGGTTCAGATCAGGCCCTTACCTTCTATGCCAACGTCCTTCAATGAGGCAAAACTGTTACCCAGCAACAGAGGGGCCTGTCTGTCTGCAGAGTCCAAAATGCATCACCAAACTGCTTGTCAGTTGGCTATTTTCCTGTTGGCTAGATTGTCCAGAGCTGGAGGCAACAGTAAGCAAGGGGCAACAACCAGTGATCGTTCACACACGCGGGTCTGAGAGAGAGACTGGTTACACAGAGGAATTTTTATAAATGCTGCCATTTTTTATTTGCCCCATGAAAATTGTGAGTGGTTGGTAATGTAGCACTAAGCTTACCAGAGCCCCGTTCCGGAGCTTTCACTCAGCGGAGGGATGCCATCAGTGAAGATTACAAGGTCTGGTTTGAATGGTCATTTTTCATAGGCATGATTTTTTTAGGTGTATCATGCAAACATGTTCTTGCCATTATTTCATCATTCACCCGAGGAAAGGGTAGGGGGTGGGAGCAAGTGTTTCCTTCCTGCCCCAAGTTCATTGTTAGGCTCAACTCAGGGCAGCCCAAAGATTTAATCCATCCCAGATGCTCATCACCTTCCATTACTAGTACTCAAATGAGGGCATGGAGACAGAAGTGGAACAGACCATTTGTTCCAAACTCACGTGAAAACAGGTGCAAACATCATCTTGTCACTCCCATTAAAGGGATTTTTTTAGGCTCTGAAAAAAGAGTGCCCGCAGGACGATTAAACCTGTAATGCAGAAGAAATTTGATGAATGCAACTGTCCTTGAGACACAGACTTCGGTCCCATAACATGTTGATGCTCTTTTGCATCGGAGAGATTTTAGGAGATGCGTTTTTCCGCAGACAACACAGATGTCAAGTAGCTGCAGAGAAAATATATCACGTGAACGTATGTTTTTATTGGGTGGGTTCTAATAAAGATCCTGCTAAAGATATGGGATGTGCCAAGGTCAATGAACAAGTTTAGGCTGATAAAGATGATACAGCCAGGCAAGGTCTCCCTGTATGGAGAACCCATAAAGAAATGGGAGCTCTAAGCACAGAGGGCTTTTAGAATCAGGTCTGATAGGGAAGAAACTATCGGTCTCTCTGCTGTTAGTTCTGGGCTTATTTTTATCTGTTCTTAGAAAATTACAAACTATAAAAAAGTGCACGGCATCATTGACTTACACAGCCAGAACAGTGTCATCACTTACAGCACAACTTTTAGGCTTAGCATTTAGGGAGATTGTTTTCTTCCTTAGATTTCCTCTTGGTGCTCGGTGGACAGAACAAGACACCCACTTTGAGCAATACAGTAACAGCAGTTCTCAAACTGTGGGTCGGGACCCCAAAGTGGGTTGCAACGCTGTTTTAATGGGGTTGCCAGGGCTGTTAGACTTGCTGGGGCCCGGGGCTGAAGCTGAAGCCCAAGGGCTTCAAGCCTGGGTGGCAAGGCTCAGGTTACAGGCTCCCTGCCTGGGGCTGCAGCCCTAGAGCTTCGGCTTTGGCCCCGCCCGCGGCAGTGGGGCTCGGGCTTTGGCCCCTACTCCCACCCAGGGCGGCAGGGCTCATGCGGGCTCAGGCTTCGGTCCCCCCTCCTGGCGTCGTATGGTAATTTTTGTTGTCCGAAGGAGATTGCAGTGCAATGAAGTTTGAGGACCGCCGCAGTAGAACCTCCGAGTTATGAACACGTCGAGAATGGAGGTTGTTCGTAACTCTGAAATGTTCATAATGGCGAACACAACATTATGGTTCTTTCAAACGTTTACAACTGAATATTGCCTTAATGCAGCTTTGAAATTTATTATGCAGAAGAAAAATGCTGATTTCCCTCTATTTTGTAGTAGTTTACGTTTAACACAGTACAATATTGTATTTGCTTTCTTTGTCTCTGCTTTTGCCTGACTGCGCACTTCCAGTTCCAAATGAGGTGTGTGGTTGACTGCTCAGTTTGTAACTCTGGTGTTCGTAACTCTGAGGTTCTACTGTATTTTCCAACCTTTTGTTTCAAGAAAAAGAAAAAAAGAGGTTCTCAGCTGGAATAAATTGTTGCAGCTCCACTGAAGGAAGTGGAGTTGGTCCCATTTACACCAGCTGAGCAGCTGTCACAGTGTCTTTAATACAATTCTGTTAAAGGGCCTGATCCTACCACTCTGTCTAATTGGAATAATTTTTAATCACAGGAGTAATCTCACAGATGTCCATAGAGCAATTTGTGCGCAAGGATTATGGTATCAGGCCTTACGAATTTAAAGAAACCAACCACTCTACTTTCTTCTGAGAATAGTGATGAGAAAATATTAGTTTCCTCCTTAAGAACTTGATATTGAAACCAGGAAAAGAGAACACAACAAAATGTTACACTGGCATACTTACTTCCAGTGTACTCTGCAAATCTTTGTCCTGATACTACTTTACCTGGCCTTCATGTGGGTGTGAGGTGATGACAAGGCATTTACATTAATGAAGGCGAATTTCCCTCTAAACAGTAATTTATTACAAAAGAGTTCAGTACAAAAATAATGGTGCTGAATGTGATTTGTTTCTATTATTGCCCCTATCTCTGATTAATAACACACATTTCCAGTTAATTTAGGAACTCAGCATGTCCTTTAATCTTGCATTGTTTCTATTGTCTTGCTGTTATGGAAAAATATATGTTTTATACTGGGGCCCGTTTTCAATTACTATAAATTAATCCATTGGGGAGATAATGTACTACGTAGCCAGGAAGTGTGAGCGAAAGGGCAGATGTATCCTAGAAGAGACTGGAGATGCATTGGGCAGAGTGCGCACTGTAAATCTCCAATCTTCCTGTCTGTCAACTCTTGGTAACTAAAGCTTTGTCTTGGATTCTCTCCCAGGTACTATGAGACTGGGAGCATTAAGCCTGGAGTGATTGGAGGATCCAAACCAAAGGTCGCCACACCCAAAGTCGTCGAAAAAATTGCAGAGTATAAACGCCAAAATCCCACCATGTTTGCCTGGGAGATCAGGGACAGGCTTCTAGCCGAGCGAGTGTGTGACAATGACACCGTACCCAGCGTCAGCTCGATTAACAGGTACAGATTTGGACAGCACTGGTCAGCAGCTGTCGCCGCTAGAATTTGCAGCATCTCCTCATTTGGGTCATTTGCAAGTAATCTGATTTGTGTTTGTTTCCTGGATGACTCGGGCAGCCATGAACGCCAGTGGTTGAGCACGAGGCGAGTGTGTGGCATATTATGAACAATTGCTATCCCCACGCAGCCTCACTGCTGCATCTCGATCCCGACCTGCAGTTCTTTTGCTGGGAAAGTCCCACGCTTATTCGAATCGAGAGTGCTCGCAGGGTTGGATTCGGTAGCATATAAACATTCCCTAGGGATAAGGTGGAGACCATCAGTGACCTGGACTACTGGTGATCTAAAAAAGGTTTGAATTCAGATTCAGCTGAGGGTGGGAAGAGTGAGGTCTAGTGGTTAGAGGATGTCAGCATTTCTGGATTCCCTTAGACCAGATTCATGTTCGGTGGGGTAAGGTACTACTCACCGTGAGTAAGGCTGATGGAATCTGGTCTGTAACCTTTATATGCCTCAATTATCCACCTGTAAAATGAGTGGTAAATTTACCCACCCAGAGGGGTGTTTTGTGAGTTAATTAAATTTTTAAAGAACTTTAAGGAACCTCACATGCAAGGTACTACCATGGGGCCTGATCCTGCACTACGGGAGCTTTGCCATCGACTCTCATGGGCACAGGATTAGGGCCCTGGATTAGGGCCTTGGGTTAGGGCCCTATACAAAGTATAATTACTTTAAAAAAAAAAGTGCTCCACCTAAATGAATCTTAACCAGAACTGTTTAGGAAACCAACCCTCTCTTGCACGATGGATGAGATACTAGCTCACATCGAAGAGAAAAACGAGTGTTCACCATGACAGTGTTGAGAAACATCTTGTGAAAAGTGACAAAAGTCAGTAACAAGTGTTAATGGAAGGGATACGAATCCCCTAAACATTCTAGATGGTAAGCAACAGCCCTTCATCCCCTGCGGTATTCTTCTTAGAGGGTTCTTCATAGTTGATGATACAGGGTGTAGACAGAAAACCCCTTTACATTTAAATTCAAAGACTGTGTTGGGCTGTGAATCCATTGTGTGTGTGTGTGTGGTTTTAAAAATCAAGATAGTTTTCATGCAATTTCATCCAAATCCCCAGAATGCAGCTAACTCTAAATTTCCATGTGTGTCTAGGGTCAGAGATGCCATATTATTTTGTATGTCTGTTTGGGGATCCCAATCTGGATGCCCTTGTGGAATTGTCCCTGTAGTATTAATAATCTCTGACATGATAACATGAAAAATAATGGGTGGCCCTTTACCTCCTAATCAAATGTTATGTGACAGATTCACGGGAATAAGTGCAAAGACTGGGTAGACAATTCAAAATGTTGAATGCTGTCTGCAGTTTCCTAACTGGAATGGGATCCTAGCAGCAGTCAGTAATACCGAGAGATTTACAGATTTGGGCAAGAAAGAGACTAGTTTGAGAAACAAAACAGAAACCAGGGGCTGAAAGAAAATCTTAATACTTGGTGTCCTCAGATAACCGAAGGGCAGCTCCACTCCCACTGAAATCCATGGGAGTCTTGCCATTGTCTTCATTGGTAGCATGATTATTATTTTTAATTATTGGACCTTCGGGGTCAGGGCTTCGTTGTGCTGGGTGCTCTACAAACACATAACCAAGACACACTCCCTGCCCTAAAGAGATTACAACCTAACTAGGCCTCTCGCATGTTTTAATCCAGTTTTCACATTTCACTCTTTTGTTGCCTTCTCTACCACCCCAGTGTATTTCTCGTACCAATAATATCACGGAGTGATCCCGTTTACATGTCCAAAAGTTGTTCCGTGATTTGGAAGCCACCCCATTTGGTGGAAATCTCATCCTTTCTCATCCATCTGCAGTTGTGGCTCAGAACCTCCCTTTGAAATGCGTTCAAGCTTTTTGCATTGGTTTGTTTTATTGGGCAGAATCGTTTTTGCTACCTTACAGCCCCTTCCTGCTGTTCAGGACTTGCAATTGCATGTAAGAAAAACCCTACATATGGTAATAAGTCGGGAATCTACTCCAAAGACACGGGGCCCCAATTCTGCAGTCCGTTCCTATTCAGCTGTGCACTCCCTGGGACGCAAGCACAGGATTAAAGTTAAGCATATATGTAAACGCTCTGCTGTGTTGGGGCAGTAAGGTCTGAACCTGCACATCTTTGCTCATGTGAGGAAGTACCAATGCAGTCAGGGGACTTCTCATGTAGTTAAGGACTACTGTTGTCACTGGGTTTGCTGGGTCTGTCTCTTTAAAAGCAGTTCATCCAGTTATGGGAGAGTCTGAGAGTCCTGTGGGAAGACTACCCAGCCCTAGGATGATCGCCTGACATTCCACTGCATGGGACCTATAGTCCATAGCAGTCTCCGACCCCAGCTCCAGAACAGGAGCCATGGGGCTGGTGCACATACATCGGGTGATGTGAAAGTCCCCGTTTAGTTTTAACTATTACATGCAGGATTTGTTTTTCTCTAGCCCTCGGCAAAGAGCAATTCCCAAATTCTAAAAAGGCAAAGCACAGAATTTAATAGTGAAAACCATCAACACGAGCAGAGCGCCACAGTGCAGACGCAGGGCAGATATAATATACGCTCATGCACATTACATTCCTACATGCGTATGTTTGTTCACACGGCACATTAACATTAATACAGGGTAACATTTTCAAAAGCACCTACGTGACTTAGGAGCATTTTCAAAAGTGACTTGGGGCCGATTTTTAAAGGTATTGCGACACCTAAAGATGCAGGCAGGTGCCTAATGGGGTTGAAAATGGGCCCTGGGCTTCTAAATCACATAGGAGCTTTGAAAATTTAACCCTCTATCCATTGACTTTGGATCCCCGTCGGAAGCTGTTCAGTACGAGCTCTTGCTCCTGGTTTGTGTCATAAGTAACTATAGACAATGGCTGCACAGCCCACGTGTGGAATAAACGGAGGGGAGTCATGCCCTATCCCCACTCCACCTGGCCTCCCGGCTTCTTGGGAGGGAGGGAGGTACGAAGGAGCCAGCCCGCTGCTGCTTGCAGTGAAGGCAGCGCTGCACCGGGGAGCTGGCTTGCATGCTGGGCAGTCTAGCCGATGCAGTTTCTTACCCCGTGCTCATCGCCGTAGGACAGCTGAATGCCTTCTAGTACAACGTGCCTTCAAATAACACCTAGCAGGTGTTTGTCACATTGATTAATGCACGACTGGAAGGTGCTCAGATACTATGGCGATGAGCCAAGGACAGGAACCTGGATAGAAGAGAATTCAGAATTTGGAATAGCCTCAATTAATACAACCAATACTTGATAATATCAATTCATATTAATCATCGGATACTTCTCAGCAGGAGCAAATTCATGACAATAAGGTTTAATTAATCATAATTATTAGCTTCACTCATGTAAGCTGCAAGCTCACCGGCTGCTTTATTATCCTCTAGCCCTCCAGAAATAAAGGTATTTACATGTAAGAAGGCCCTGAATTCTCTTGATTCCTTCTGACAACTCAAAATCCTTGTGCAAAGTGTTATTTCCTCCCCTTCCCTCTCGTGCAGATGGATCTCACTTGAGGAGCTCAGTCCTGCTCCCACACTAAGGGCAGTGGCAAAACTCTCACTGGCTTAAATAAGACAAGATTGGGCCCCTGCTCCAAAAGTCCTGGCTTGTTATTGGGGGAAAAGAATGCTGGCAGGCACTGGCCTGCTTGGCCCCACCACCGGGAATGTAGTGATTAGAACTCAGCACCCGGGGCTGCTTCCCATTCTGCAGCTTTCAGGGCCCGACGGGAGAGGCAGGGAGGGAGTCAGTTCCTACGTTAGGGAGCACATCTCACCAGCTATTTCTGCTCAGTAGAGAAATATGGGGAGGCCGTGTGATTAAGTGCCTAGTGTGTGGGGCTGCGACTCAGGAGACCCAGACCCGGATTCTATTCCTGGCTCTCTCACTGGCCTGCTGGGAGATCTCGGATGAGTCATTTCCCCTCTCTGTGCCTCGGTTTCCCCTTCTGTAAAACAGGGATCATGATACTGACCTGCTTTGTAAAGAGCAGCAAGACCTTCTGATGAATTTTAGGTGTTGTTACTATTGTGGTCACTATTGAATGGTTGTAAAATAATAGAAAAAGATCTAGTGGGAACAGATAACAATTCTGCAGAAAACTGATTTTACATAAAAGAAGTCTGAATGATAAAGCCCTGATCTGGGAATAATTTTTAAGCTTCTTCCTTTTGCTCTACGCACAAACGCAGACCCCCACTATAACTTTACACAGTCGGTTCATGAATGAAGTTTTGCCATTCTTGGGTGAACATATCAATGTGCAAAAAACTGGTGTATAGCAAGGCATAGACTGGGAATGTAGCTTGTTAAATAGCCCCGGGAGAAATCATCACCACAGCGTGCTGTCAAAATAGCACATAAAACATACACATCTACCATGAGAAGCACGTCAATGAACTATGTATTAGCTGAGTCAAGACCACACCACAGTTAGTATTTGGGCCTGATTTTCCTTCCACCGAAGTCCATGGCAAAACGTCCATTTATGTCCTGGGGAGACGGCTCACACCCTGTGTCTTTCCCGTTAATACATCAACACTGTCGTTTTTGCCAACGCATTCCTGTTGCCTTTCTTGCTAACTGCCCCCTTTCCAAAAAGCCACCACACACCCTTCCTTTTATTTCTCTGTATCTTTCTACACCGCATGCACAACTGTAACAGATGCTGCTCTCTGAGAACACTGGTGTGCATTGGGAGTGACCCCTTTGAAATCATAGAGTTACTCCAGATTTACTCCGGTGTAAATGAGAGCAGAAGATGGTCTGAGGGTCCAGTTATGACAAGGTAATTGTTGAGTTTGGATGTCTTGCATTTGGTCCAAGATTTGTTGCTTTCAGTGTTCCATTTGATTTGGGGTAAAACTTCAAAAACGCCTCAGAGACTTAGGAGCATAAGTCCCATTTTCAAAAGTGACTTAGGGCCAGATTTTTAAAGGTATTTAGGCACCCAAAGATAGGTGATAGGTGCCTACTGGGCTTTTCAAATATGTTGGTGCCTAACTCTTACTGAAATCAATGGGAGTTTGGTGCCTGGCCCTTTTGAAAATCCAGCTAGGCATCTACCGGTATTTTCAGGCACCTGAAAACCTTAGGTGTTTAGGAGCCTAAATCTCAATGGCACATGGGCTCCTAACTCACCTAGGCCCAGATCTTCAGCTGTATTTACATGCTTTACTCCCATTGATTTCAAAGAGGTTCCTAAATGCCTTTGAGGATCTGGGTCTTCGGCACTTTTGAAAATTTGGCCCTAGATCTGCCCACCAGTCGCACTTTCACTGTTCTTCAATGGACTAATACAGGAAAAGATGTTTCCTTTACCATCTAAGTGTCTGGAATGGACAAAATCGCTTCTGATGTTCTCCAGGCACTGCTATTATTTGCCTGCAGTTTCTACAGTGTGCATGTCTCATAGTAAGGAGCCATTTGTTTCTTTTCAACTACATGCAGGATCATACGGACTAAGGTACAGCAACCACCCAACCAGCAGGTCCCAGCCTCTAGTCACAGCATAGGTAAGTCAAACTTTTTTTATATTAACAAAATAATATAATGGAATACAAATATTCTAAAGAACTTTTAATCATTCTTATGGACAGATAATTCTGCATAAAACACTTCAGCACACGTACTAATGCACCTTCTTTGTCATTCGGCAAGGGTTGAACATGGTAAATGAATTTTATAAATACTGCTAAAAGGTTTTGAATTTTACTGATTATTATGATAAATAGCTTTCACCGTGAGACAGAAAATTGAAATCTAAACCAACTCCCCCCCCCACTAATAGGGGTCTATAGAATGTCAGATAATTAAAGTAATAAATCAAGAAAGGGATACTTATTCATAACATTTTCTGCATCATTAGTCAGTAAGTAGTTGTGAATGTGTTTTTTTCTTCTATCAACCATCCCTTCTATAATTCTTTGTGCACTTGCAGTCTTGAGTGAAGAGGTACCAAAACTTTCCAAACTTTCTTCTCCCGTTCTTCCCTTCTCCTTCCTAATGCAGACGTTCAGGCCAGAGCAGCGTGCTCTAGCCAGGTTCCGATGCCGCGTCTGTCAGGAGACAGCAACCCCGATTAACACATTTTTGTGGCTAATGGAGTTGGTGGCCTCAGCCCAACTTTCTTGGTTGTGGAGATTTTTGATCTCTCTAAACATTGTCTTAGGCAACTGCATGTATAGCCCATATTCTTCCTTTGTAGGCATGTTCACTCAGCTCCTTCCTCATTTGAAATTTCCATTTCCAACAGCATTCATGCCTCCTTACGTGCAGAATGCGAGTGGTGGACATTATTTACTTCAGCTGATCCAAGATTTGTCCTTTATAGCTAGTCCCTAGGAGGTTAAACTTGGGTTTGCTTTCTTAGTAGCAAGGCGTTCCATGGAGGGTTGTTAAAGGAAAGGGAAGGGAAGATGGCGTTGGGTACAAGACTTAGACAATCTGGGTTCTATTACCACCCATGCTACAAAATGGGACCTCCATTAAGCCACCTTGCTTGTGGGTCTGGTAGCTCATTCTGCAAGTAGTCCTGGTGGGATAAGGTACTGCTCAATGTGGGGAAAGGCAGCAGAATCTCTGCCTTAGTGTCCTCCTCTGTAAAATGGGGACAATGCTCACTTCCCAGGAGTGCTGTGAAGTTAAATATCTGGGAGGTGCTTTTTGCGAGACTCAGCTGGAAAGCGCCCGGGCGTACATTTGGAATCGTTTTATCAAGAAAGTGACTCTAAGAGCCTCCGATGAAGAAAAGCAGCAGCTAACGTGACTGATGGTTTAAGGCTCGATTGTGTTACCAGTGAGCTCAATAGCAAAACTCCCGGTGGCTTCAGAGGAGCCTTCGTTTATACGGGGGCAAATCCTGACTCCGCTTTGCTCTGCACAGACGGAAGCTGGGTGGTTCATCCGGATGCTGTGGCCGCCGAGCACAAGCGGAGTGCTGCCTCTCCCTGCTGGCACTGTGGGATTAGCAGCTGTGGGATGGCAGTGTGACAGCCCATCCCCTCCTGCATCCAGAGAGGGGACGCCACCCGACTGCCCTGGCCCCAGGGAGGGATGGAGAGCCAGCTGTGGAGAACCTCAAAGAGGCTGTCTGGCAGCTCCAAATTTACATTGGCCATCACTAATGCCACTCCCTGTAGGACAGGTCAGTACCCCACCTGCCCTACCGGGGACGCTCTGCCAAAGGGAAGCAGCTTTAATTCATGTCCTGAACAGCTCCTGGGGGCTTTAGCTCCATCCTCTCCCCAGCTGGGCCTGCCCATGTTGTGTGCTGTGCTCTAGGCCCCCTGGCAGACCCGTGCTTGCGGGCAGGTAGATTGATACCTCCTGGCTCTAGCACTGGGGACCTGCAGCCTAGACTCTGCCTGTTTGTGCTGACAGAATCCAGGCAGCGAATCATGCACATTGACTCATTCTTACCACACGTCAGAGTGGTGTATGAGGATGGATGGGGAAACCACAGGAAGGAGGGTAAGTGCTGTGCCCACGGTTACAGAGGGAGTCAGTGCTGGGATTCGAACTCTTGGCTTGGGCACTATTTCCATCTGCGTCCTTGGTCAAATCACTTAACCATCTTGCCTCAGTTTCCCTACTGGGGATGCTATTATTTAATTACTTGCTTCCTAGGAGTTGTGTTGAAGGTTAATCAGTTTGTGCTCGCAAAGCATGTTGAAGATGTAAAGTGCGATCTGTAAGTGCTAAGCATTATTATAATTACGGTTATCCTATCCATCCAAAGCCATTCCACCTCTTTAAAGCTGTTAACGGATAACCAGACATTTAGACAACGTCTTCTGGTCTTGGTCATCCTTCTTCGAAAGGTTCCCGTAGCAGGGCGCTTGCCTTATACTTTCCTCCTATTTAGTATTCTGTGTAATGCTGGCGAATGACGACTCTTCCCCTGTTGCAGCCACTGCAGTCAGGATGAAGGGTTTAATACAAAAGGCTCAGTGAAGCACTACGCCAGTTAGGTTACCCGCCCTGTGGTTCCCCCACTAATAATACATCAGCAGTCTTGGATTGTGGCTTCAGGTTAACTCCATATCATACTAGATTCTTAATTAGTGGCTTAATATGTAACGTTACATTTATTGAATAGAGAACGAGCCAATTTAAAAAAGATAAACAGTAGATAAAGCACAACATGCGCTTTGACATTTGTGAGGTGCATATATAAGGCATTTTATGGGTGTGGCAGCTTTTAAATGGCCCTCAAGGGTCCCTAAGACAAGCACAGTGTAGTTGTTATTATTATTAATTGGAGCCTCGGAACCCTAGTCAGGGACTGTTGCGCTAGGCGCTGTACAAACACAGAGAGAAGAATGGTCCCTGCCCCAAAGAAGTTACACTGGAAGAATAAGACGAGAACAGATGGAGACAGACAGACCAGGGAGTGTAAGGAACCAATGACACAATACTGCATCAGCAGGAGAGGCGGTGCGCTCAGCTCTCCCGGGACACCACTGCCAAATCTGACTATTTTATCATGACTCTCACAATATTTGGTCTTTCTCGTAACGTCTGAGTTGCTGGAATCAGATTATGGCCTGAGAATCGCAGCTTTTCATTAACAAAAGGAGAAAGCTTCTAGGTCACGTGGTGGGAGAGAAAAGGCTGAGACCTGACCCCTCAACACTCTGACACCCAGGGGCAAATAAAAAGGACCCCACATTTTTTTGATTATTTTGTAAATCTAATGATTTTGGGGGCCTGGCTCCTGATTTCTGAACACTTGGGTTGGGCAGCATGGCCAACCGTAACTGCTGCCAGCCAGTGATTTTAATGAACAGGGGATGCCAGGAACCAGAACCACCCTGGTACTGATAGAAGGGAAACAACCTGAGTGGAGCACTGCCCTGAGTGTTACTTTAGGGTCCAAAGCTGCTTCCCTGCTGGAGCGGGGCTCACTTAGCGGCCACGGCTGAATAGTCTTCAACATCCTGGGGGCCTTGTAGGCAATCTGAGGGCCTAGTGGCCAAATTATAGTCTGTCCTTCTCCGGTTGGGCTAGGGGCAGAGGGAAGGGTTGGGAGACCCAGGCCCTCTCTCTCCACTGGGTCCAGACCAAGGCGGGAGGCTGTTTCCATCCCCTGTTTCCATCCTGAGCTAATACCTCAGACCAGCCTCCCCTGGGCCACTTCCTACCTCCCAGGGCACTCTTCGTTTTGGGGCGTTGTCCATAGCAGCACAAGATTCTATTACCACGACAACCAAATACACAACAGATGTGATCACAGCCCTCTGCCTCCTTCCTCGAGGAAGCTGTTCAAGGAGTTGCAGTGATTCAGAGAGTCACTTGGGGCTGCCCAGCTCCCTTCCAGTGTCCAGTGATTCCCCCTTGGAGAGAAAGGGTCAGGCCCCTGGCTGCCCCATCAGGCCTTGTCCGCAGTCCAGGTCCTTCCCTTGTGGATTCCTCTGTCCCAGAAGGTTCTAACTGGCTCCCTTCCTTTAGACTGCTTCTCCTTCCCTCTCCCCTGCTTGATTGCCAGACTCTCATTTTAAGCAGGTCCTCCATTTGGAGCATGCTCCATGGCTGATGTGGGGCGGGGCCTTCTTGGCCCAGCACGGTTCCATCACCACTTTAGTCTGAGTGGGGGGGTCTGTAAACCCCATGTGCACACGCAAAGCCCCTCTTGCAGGCAATTGAGTGTTTGCCACAAGCTGTGCTCCATCAGCCCCTTTTCAAAACTCAAGTGTCAGAGGAAACACAACAAAACAGGCATGACCATTCAGTTTCTTAGCTGGGGCACTGCAGAGTCACATGAAACTGTTGTGGCTGAGGGTGTGGACAGTGGTCCCAATGGCAGGAGTTGTGGGCACGCTCTGGCGTTCATGTTCGTCTGCACGCTGACCGCTTTGCTTTTAATTACAGCCTCCACGGGGTCCGTGACCCAAGTCTCGACAGTGAGCACTGACTCCGCAGGCTCCTCCTACTCCATTAGTGGAATTCTGGGAATTACATCCCCCAGTGCTGAAAGCAACAAACGCAAACGCGATGAAGGTAAACGGGCCTGTTTTCTCTTTGGTGGGTTCCACGTACTGAAAAAGGGGCGGGCGGCGTTGGAAAGATGCTCTATCTGCTATTGTCTTCAATATTCACTTTCTTACAACTCACCATATCTAGTTGTGTCTGACATGGGTCCATGTAACCTGCTTTTGTGACTTAATCTGTTCATGTGGGATCTGTTTCTACCGGAGAGCTATTGCGTGGCCAGCTGGGCTGAGATAGGTACTGAGATGACCGTGATGCTAAGGAGACATTGCCTCTGTGTGCAAGGTTTTCATGCTGGTGTGACTCCATCAATGGCAATGGAGTTTCTTCCGATTTCTACAGGTCTACGTGAGATCACAATCAGGCCCAGATAGTCTTCCCCTGCTCCACTTGAAGTCAATGGCAGCTAGAATGGAAGCAGGATTGGTCCCATGGTCAGGTGCCAGTATTCATATATTATAAAGCACATGGGATGAATTGCATTTTTCAGTGACTTACCAATAAAACTGAACTAAACTAAGAAAGCTTCCCACCCATCAGTGCAAATGGCAAGATACATTATTACGATGGCACAACTCTGCACCTTGTTAAAAAATAAAATACAAACGAGGTGGATTAGACTCGTCCGAGATCTGGATGGTTTATAGGAACAGTTTCCTTTCTCCAGCACTTCCTCAGCTCCCATTGACATCAGTGGGATTTTTGACAGCGAAGGCTGAACTAAAGGCGGCTTGATTTTGTTTTGTATGGAGCATTTGCTGTAGTTTTTGCATTCTTCTTAAGGTTCATAATTAAATGTCACTATGCAGCCTGGATGTTGCTTTGATGAACATGCTGCATTATCTTTAAAAATAAGGATAATTTAGGACAAATGACGGGATATTCTGAATTTGAATTTTTTAAAGATGCCTTAAATTATAACTGGCTCTTTCCTTAGAATCATAGGGTACGTCTACACTACCCACTGGATCGGCGGGTAGTGATCGATCTATAGGGGATCGATTTATCGCGTCTAGTGTAGACGCGATAAAATCAATCCCCGATCGCTCTGCCGTCGACTCCGGAACTCCACCGCGGTGAGAGGCGTAGCTGAAGTTGCGTATCTTAGGTCGACCCCCCTGCTAGTGTAGACCTAGCCACTGAATCATAGAATCTCAGGGTTGGAAGGGACCTCAGGAGGTCATCTAGTCCAACCCCCTGCTCAAAGCAGGGCCAATCCCCAACTAAATCATCCTTGAAGGCATGTAAAGGATGTTTCTTATTATCTAACCGCAGGAGTTCCAGAGGCTAGGAAATATCATTGGCCAGCCACACCCACCTGCCAGCCACACCCACCTATTATAATCAAAGGAGTAGGACAATTTTAACCCTGGGGCAAGTTTAGGGCCTGATCCTGTAGACATTGTTGTATGGGAGTGACTTCACTGGGGCTTCTCACATGTGTAAATTACTTGCTCGTGGCAATGATTGGAGGATTGAGGCCTTAGTTTGTTTTCTTTCTGCCCATTTGTTGCCTCCCCTGCTGCTTAAACTACTACAGTTGTAGTTTTTGTGCAACGGTGGTCACAAAGCGCAGACACTGCTGCTCTTGACGAGGAGTCTGTTCTGCCAGCCATGTGCCTGCCCTGTTCATGGGATTTGCACACACACTCCTCAAGGGGAGAAATGACCCCGGAGTCTTTGTAAACTCTGGGGCAGGAAGGGAAAAAACAATGTTTTCTCGGTGGCCTCGAGCCTCACAATCAGCCTGACAGGACATTTAAGTCAGTTATTCTCCTGTTCAATTCATCCCACTCTTTGTATGTACACACACAAAAAAAACAAGCCCGGAGTGCCAGTCCAAGTCCAAACAACGAGTGTGTGTGGCCGTCCCCAGGGCTGCACAAAGCGGTCAGGTGCAGAGGGCCGTTTTAATCCTGGGACCATGGAAGTCAATTGCAAAACTCCCATTGACCTCTGTGGGGCCTAGATTTCCCTCAGACTGTGGCTGGCTGCCCGGGTGCAAAGACTCGGTTTGTACATGCAGTTGCAGTAGGTGTGCACATTAATTAGGTGTGCAGTTGCACACTTGACTTTTTGAAAATCAGGCCATACCTATACACATACATGTTGGCATTATAGTAGGAGCAGTAGCAAACTCTGTAGTTAATTAAAGATGCATAACCATCTACCGTGGTGACAAGAGCAGTATGGGAACCAGGACAGAAAATATAGACTCTCCATCCTACAGCCCTGTTTCCAGTCACTTGTAACTTTCCAAACCGTTCTCCTTTGGGGCCGACATTTTACAGGGTTGATCTGTGCTGAAAGGTGATTTTTTAAAACGTTGAGCTAACCTTTTCTGCAATGTGTTAAGGGAAAAGCTGCATAGTCCCTAGGGTTTGGCAGAGAGGCAATCTCAATGTTGCAAACTCTCACAGAGCTATCACAATAGTTTCCTAAATGTCTCCTAAAGCCCCAGCTCCCAGAGCCACAGGAGAATCTCAGATTTCATTTATAAGCAGTAAACCCTCATAGCTGCAGGGAAAAGATTGAGACTGTGAAAGGCTCAAACCCAGAATGCGACCCATCCCCAGTACGCCAATCTGCAATAGCAGTACTGCTGTCTTCACTGCCCACTGAAACTGCACAGCTAACGGGCTCCCTACTGCAGACTCGTTAAGTGGGGTAGACAGGGTGCTCTGGTAAGTGTCTAGCTAAATGGTTCCACAGTATGGAATTTCTTTTTTCTGTCTTGATCCCACCTTCCTCCCAGTAAATTCCATTAACACCCTTCTCCCCCCACTAAGCGCTTGTCACCTGTGCAAGTTAAGCACTCAAAATGCACTCCGAGTAGTCCAAAGAAGCCCCACTTTTGTATTGGAGACTCTAGGGAAATGGAATCATATTATATTGTATTCTTTCAGGAAGAGGAAAATGTGACGGTTTAATGATGGACTGTATCGTAATATATATGCACAAGGGGGCAGAGTTAACTTTGCCATTTACTGACTTTTGTGAGCTCAACGCTACATGGTTAACGTTCTCGTGACTTAGTTTTTTGACATATGTCTCTCTCCATATTGAGGGAGGGGGCTGTCTGTATATAGATCTCTGACAAGTAGAGCCACTGACTAGGTAACCCTTGTAAATTGATCTAGGCTTCTGTCTGAGTGGGACAGTGAAATGGAATGGGTTCGCTCTTCAACTCTGCAAGCTGTATCCTGCACTCAGTAGGATTCGTTGCCTTTTTTGTTCCTCTCGGTCTGGACATTTTTTTTAGCAGCTGTCACCAGTCTTTAACCCAGTGGGTTGCTAGCCTAATAGCAACAGGGGCAAACCAAATCAGACAATCTTTATTGGCTTATTCAGCTGAAGGTGCCATTCCCCCTCCCGCATTGTAAAGTAGACTTGGAGCAGATGTGCCTTAGTGGGGGATCGGTTGCTTTCACTTCTAGTTAAAGGACATACTACTGGGGACTGACACAAGGAGCAGACTACACAGTAGCTAGACACTGGCTTACTAAAGAGAGATGCGATCGGCTTTCTACTTTTAAATAGGCAGACGCCGTTGGGCACGGTTGCTGTTTTGTTTTCAGATTCCCCTCTCTACCTTCGGTTGCTTCATTCGGATTTTCCCTGCGTGTAGTGAGAAGCCCGAGCGATGCATGTTGAGCAGATGGGTGGGAGGATGGAGAATGATCTTATTTTATCGTCTTCTAATGAATTCCATTCAGCTGAAAGAAGGCCATAGAGGGGAGCAGGCAGTGAGCGTGGGACCCACAAGTAGGTTAGGTTACATTTTAAAGACAGGTTTTTACAAATATCTCTATTCAAAGAAATTGTTTTATTCCATTAAAAGTCGCCTACATTTTCAGAAATGACGAGGGGTTTGCGGTGGCTCAGTTCCTGAGTGCCCAGCCTGAGCCATCGTAAAAGGGTCCTGGAATTCAGAATGTGCCGAGCGGCTGCCCTCTGAAAAGCACCATCTCAAATGGGACACCCAAAAATGGAGGCTCCCAAGATCACTACTCGGTTTTTAAATGAAGAGACTCTTCTGTTTGGATTTAAACTTTCCCCGGTGATGTTTGCCACCAGGGATGAACATAGATCAGATGAGGAGGGGGAGTTCTCCAGTTCTGGCTGCTGTCCTCATGTTCAGTTTTTCTTTTGGTGGTGCAGTGTTACGTTGTCTTGTGATGACAGGACAAAGCTACAGGAGAGAATAGGGGAAAAAGACAAAATGTATGCGAAAGGAGGTTGTGTCCCCAAGCAAACTTACATCCAGCCAAGGAAATGAATGTGTGTAGTGTGTATGCAATGTGTGTGTGTGTGTGTGTACAGTTGTCCTCTGCTTGTGTTTGTGCAGGGCACAGACATACTGTATGCATTACGTGTGTTTGTGCAATGGGTGTGCATTTGTGCAGGGTGCATGTGTACTGTTTGCAGTGTGTTTGTGCAGCATGCCTGCACACGGTGTTTAGCGTGTGTGTTTGCACAGTGCATGCAGTGTTTGTGGAATGTACGTGTAGGGTGCCTGTAAGTGGTGTTCAGCATGTGTGTTTGTGCAGTGCGCGTGCGTGCAGTGTGTGCATGTGTATGCGTGCAGTGTGGGTGTGTGGTGTGGAACGTGTTTGTGTGGTGATTGTGTGTGTATTGCTCAGCAGGGTCACGTCCCTGGAGGGCCCCACAAGCCCATTGCTACAGTGATGAGATTTTGTAACAAAACTCCAAATGGGTGCTGGCGCTCTGCCTCGGCAGTCACTGAACTCACCCGGCAGTTACTGCACGCGAGAAGAGGTTTAAATATGTGTTTTTAACAGAGAGATTTGATGCAACCTCTCTCTCTCTCCTCCAGGATTTCTCTGTCCGTCTCCCCTGGCCAGCAGGAGGGGCACGGCTCCCTACAGAGGCGGGCAAAGAGACGGCTCCCAGCTGGGACGCCTCTTTGTCTCCCATCAGGTGGTGCTGTTGCTACCCCTCCTGGCAGTGTGGCTGGGAGTCCCAGCCAGGCACCAGCTCGTGTCCCA